TGGGGATTAGCTGGCCCCAGGGATTGGCGGGCAGCCGGAATCTGCCAGGGCTGCAAGTAGCAGCGATAAAGGCTTTGCTGGGCTCAGCACCCGTGGCCTGGGCTGTTCTCTGGGGGGGGGCAGAACTCCCCCCTCGGGCAGCAGCTCCATGGCCCTGAGCTTCCAGAAGGCCATCCCTGCTTCCCCTGTGTGGGGGCGGGGTGGGAGGGGGTCATGCAACTCATCACAGCTCATCACCACCCCATTACCCATGGGGAAACTGAGGCGCAGGGCAGGGCAGTGTCTACCCCAAGCCAGAAGTCCTGGCTCCCAGCCACCCTCCCCTTCCAGCTTCAGGACTGAGTCCCTGGGCTGCTCTTATGGCCAGAAGTGCCCCCCCCAGCCTCGACCACCTCTGCTCCTGAGCCGTGGGACCTGGGGAGACGCAGAGACCGAGAGCCGACTTGATCCGGAGCCGTTTAATGGGGGTGGGAGGCTCCGTGCGGGGAGCCAGCAGCAGAACTGGGAAAGCACCCAGGCGTCCTGGCGCCCACCCCCCAGCTCCAGGGCCCAGGTCTCGCCCAGGGGTCGGGGGGGGTCGAGGGGGCCGGAGGCACTAGCTGGCGCTAGTCGACACCAGGTGCTGGCGGGGGCCGAGGGCCGGCAAGTGAGGAGCCCGAAGCACTGGTGGTCTCCACAATGCCCACGTCACGGCAGGGCGGGGAGGCCCGGAGCTGCTCCCGTGCTGTCGGTCCCGCGAACAAGAGCTCATAGGTCAGGCCACCCAGCACTGCGCCCAGCCCAGGGCCCAGCTTGTACACCTGGGGGCAGGGGGCAGGGGTCAGGCAGTGCCCAGTCCCAGGTCCAGTGAGTACACCTGGGGGGCAGGGGGCAGGCAGGGCCTGGTGCCCAGTGCCAGGGACCCAGCCCCTTTGAATGGGGGGCCCCAGCTGGGCCTGTGCCTGGACTCCTGGGGCCCCTGCCCCAGCTCACCCAGTGGTCGTCCCAGATGCCTGTCACGATGGCCGGCCCCAGCGACCTGGCAGGGTTCAGGCTGCCCCCTGAGAACGGGCCCTGTGTGGGGGGAGAAGGGGGTGACCATGCACCGTCGGGCTCGAAGCTGGGGGGCGGTGGGGATGGGGA